TCTATTTTAAAAAGTGTATTTAGTTTAGCATGAAACAATGGCAACGTCCTTCATTTGTTGTTTGGCTGCGAACAACAAAGTTGATATAAAATGAGGATATAGAAGTGTATAGATAGATATATAGATCATACTTATTTTTTAAGTATGATGTAAGTAATTCTAGTTCTAGAACGTTGAAGTGGCCCCCAATACCAGCAGTGGCCCCAAGCCAATTTAAGTTTGAGACCCCTGATCAAAAGATTGCTTCATCTAGCTTCATTTCAACAATATCTTGACTTCAATATCTCAAACTGTGATTCCTCCTTATTACGTAAAGTGGAAGTAATGAGATTTGTTTTACCATACATACATACTTATCACATATTTAAAATGAATAAAATTCACATAGGTATTCTAAATATAAGCATTCTTTTCTGTAATGTGAATACTAGCTACTAAATATTTTCCTGTAACCTTTGAGAGTAATTGTGTTCATATAATTCTAATGACTTAGGTTACACCTCTGACGTGGATGTCTAAAGCTTTTAATAGCTGAAATGTGTAAATTGGCGGTAAGAATAACCTGGTTGGCTGCGTTAGGATAGAAATCATTTGTAATGATGATACAAGTTGTGCGGGTTACACTGCCTTGCTTACACAAATAGCCGTGTTCGTGAGAGGAAGGCGTATCACATTGCCAAGAGGCAGACTCTCTGTGGTTGTCCCAACCAGAGATAAGCTGCTAAGCTGCAGATGAAAGTGTGTGTGCATGTAGAGAGTGTGGCGTGGTGAGCAGCTGTGGTCAGCCAGATTTGGGAACCCTCTGTGACACCACAGTTAAGATACTTTACTTTACTTTACTGCACACAAACACACACACACGTTTCCACACATTACCCTTCACATCAATCCAGCTGCCTTCTTGGAAATTAGAAATGTAAAAGCAGATAAAAGGAAAAGATGCACAATAAAAAAAGTGCAAAATGTATGAGAAACTTGATCAGCAATGGAGATAAAATCAGTGGAAAATGAAATTAAAATTTGATCTGGTTTTATAAAAGTGTACCAGGCAACAGTAAACATGTTGTCCCAAATAATACAGGCCCTCTCTCACTCAAACCTCATCTTGTTTTGATCCCGAAGGCCCCGTATGGCCATCAGCAGCACAGTTTCTCAGTGGATAACACAGTTGCCTCACAGCAATACTTTGGGGCCTTTCTGCGTAGAGTGTACATGTTGTCCTGAGTGGGTTAGGTGGAATGGAGGTTCACTGTAAGTATGAATAAGGTTTGTGAATGTTGCTTCGTGGACTGCACATGTTAAATCTAGATATGGATGGATGACCCCATATAGTCGAACTTTTGTAGATTCACAAGCCGGTCTCTAAATGCTTTGCTTAATAGGGACTGAAGACTTTCTCTCATTTTTCTCTCCGTCTACCATCCAGCGCCTCTAAAGCTCTTACATCTAATTTGTTAGTGTAAAATCGACACTGGTGGTCTTAAAGGGTTTATGTGCTGGACTGTTTCTGGGCCAGGTGGAGGAACTTCCTGAGGTCTGTACTGATTGCATGGAAACGTCCCTCCAGACATTAGAGTGGTATCAATCCTCGGATCTAACTCTCAGCAAGAAAGCCAGTAAGTTTATTAATTGATTTGGCAGTAGACTTTTATTTTATTGAACGCAATGCAAATGTTATGTTTTAATATAAAATGATGACATACTAATATCTTTATTTTGAAGGGATATCTTCATGTTGTTAATGAAGGGTTCATTTGCAAAAACATATATCTCCATTTCTATTTATTTTCCTAAATCATGTTTGTTTTTAGATTGTGCAATCAAGAGAAATAATCTTTTTTTTTTGCAAATGAACTTAATCTGCACAGGAAAACGGATACTGACAGTAAAAATGAAATAAAATGACCCCAGAAGTCAGTGCATTTATAAGGAACAGGTTCATACTTTAATAAAAGGGTATTTTCCCTTGGCACAGATCTGCTATCAAATAAATAAAGAAATTAATCAAATACAATCTATATAAACTAAACAAAGTCATGAAAAAACATTAGGAGGGAGGGGAAAGGGAGAAAAACAGCTAGTGCTAAACAACTTTCTTTTACAACAAACACCAAGTGAAAGTGTGTCTGTGTGTGGAGAGAGAGAAACAGCTTGTGTTATAGACAGATAATCATTCCTCCCTGCTACTATTGGCGTGGCTGATATCAGAGCACTAACTGACAGTAGGCAAGTGAGATAGCTTGACAGTTATTTAATCATAAATAAGCCTTAAATTCTTTCTACATGATGCTGGTTTATCCTTTCTGCAGTCCACTATATACATCAGATTTTTAGAGATGCTGATACATGGATCTTACAAAGCAAATTAGTGGTGCAATACATACAATACGAGATGGTGGATGTAAAGAAGGATGATGAGATGACATAATTTGAAGTCTTGATTCTTGAAAAGAGGCATCCACTGAAGAAAAAAAAAACATCTGGTACATGGATAACTGAAAACCTTAGTATTTTATTTTGGATTTATTTCCCACAGTAAATGGAAAAGTCTGTGTGACAAAACTGACTAAAAACTGCTTTCCCAACTCTCAACAAATATTGCCACGGTGCTCTTAAGCATGGCATTTTACCCCCAGTTTCTCCAGTGATGCTGCTTTGAAGTCTACAGTATGAAAGTGTGTTTGTAGTGGGTAGCTTTCCAGTGTCAGTTCAGGTAATTGTATGAATGTGAAGCAGGACATTGAAAAGAAGGGACTTCAGTCTGTTCAGTAAAACGCTCTCCGGGTAAAAGAAGTTTAAATATTGCATCCTGGCTGTGGGTCTGACCGAGACTTTCACCTAAATTCCTTCAGCAGCTCTCGCTCACCGTGTCCAATCGGACCACCCTGCAGGACGAACAGTCGCCTGCATGCCGTCCGTTCACACAACCAGACCGACATTTCCACGCTACTTATATTTGGAGCGACACACTGGTATCAACACTGTTTCGGTTGAGGGGAAACCTTTGACAAAGGAGTTACAGTCTCACGAGGGGCTCAGGCAGCGAGGACCTGCAGTGTGAAAAGCAGCGTGAGGTAAGGAAGCTGAGGTATGGAGTGCAGCTGTGATCCCCCCTCGGGGGAATGACGCCGTTTCCACCACAGGGTCCCGTGAGATGAGCCGACTGACTGGTGCCTCTGCTAAAGGACGACCTGCAGCTGTGAGAGGACACCGCGGGGCTCAGGGCAAGACTGGCATACACGGCATTCTTTCTCATCACAAACACACGAACATGCTTATGTCAGACTTGCACAACTAACCCATGGTTGATACTGAACAGTGTATGGATGAGGTTGCGCTTGGGCACAGCACTGAAACCCTGACAGAAGACTGTGGATATATAAGGGCAGGTCATTTAGAAATGTGATGCTAGGAAGTTCTGAGAAGAACACGTGTGCTCGCCAAGAACACCAGGGAGAAACTATCGCGGAGGAGGTGATGGACACCCTTACACTGGCAGCTCTCAGTTCACCGCCTTGCATCTGCAGGTTTATGGCAGCGCCCAAAGCGCATCATGGGATAGGATAAACAGACAGTCCCTGGTGCTGGCAGGACAACAGCAGCAGTGAGTTATGGGTCTAGTGGAGACTGCGGGCCGGGCCCAGTGTTATCCAGCACCAGAGGAATGGGACAGCTGAAAGAAACCCCGCCCCACCGCACCACAAACAGAGCCTTGTTGGCTGAGCTCTGAGGCCACATGGCAGCACGGTGAAAGACCTGCTGACAGCTGGGGGATAGGAAGATGCCATGGAAACAGAGGGAGCAGCCATGTGACCTCGGGCCAGGCCGAGGGCTGGACAACAGAGCTGCTAAGAGTTAGGGAAAGTGCTAACATGACAGCCAGAAATGTCCAAAAGACAAAAAAGTAAACCAGGATCTGAAGCAGGGTGGTGGTGAAAGATGACATGCATGTTCAGCAAAAATATTTCCCTGCATAAATAACTGTCCTTAAAGGTCATATTCCACACTGATGAATGAATACACAAACCTCAATCAGGGTTTCAATTTATGCAGATATGCCAAAAGCACTGATCACGATCTCTAGTTTTGATTCCAAGTGTATCATGGGATTTAGAACATGTGATTTAACTGCTGACACTTTGGACATTAAAATAAAAAAGAAGGCTTTTGTAAGTGGACTGGCACTTTTAAGTTTCTAACTTGTTTTCATGCAGAACACACATACTAGCACATAACAGTCCGTAAAATTCCAGCTGAGATTACAAGAACTAAACTTGAGTAATGTGCATTGATATGTGATCTACACTACAGCCTCGTATCTTAAAATAATTTGTCCTTGTTTTTTTTCCATGATATCGCAAGCATGGTCTCTATAAAGCACTAGTATGTGACGTGAGTTTAAGTTACTGAACAGCACCTGTTGAGAGTTGGGTTTTAGTCATTTGGGCATTATCACTAGATTACAGTTCGGTATCTAATCGCATGGTGAGACAGTTGAAACAGAAGGAGAATGAGAGAGAGAGTGAGTGTGAGATTGAGTGAGTAATACAATTCTAGTCAAATGAGGCTCCTAGTGGTCTTATAAAATGCGGTTGTGAAGGAAAACAAAGATAAAAGCTTCAGATAATGAATACAAAGATATCACATTATCAATAAAGCTTATAAAATTGATAACAATATATACCTTATGTACAGTAAATGTTAGTTAATAAAAGTAAGGAGCTTTTTCGACACTTCAGTACTGCAGATTTTGAGACCATTCTTCTTCTTTCAAAAAAGTTTCGAAGTAATTTGAAAATAACCTCTGAATGCTTAGGCAAAGTCACCATTACAACAACAATTAGGATAAAATTAGAGGTAGCAGCGGATTTGGGATCTTTTTTTTTTTTTTTTT